TTCCTCTCCAAATGCTTTGTAGACCAACTGTTGGATGCCAGAAGATTTTACCTATGTGCAAAGGATTATATACCCAGAAGAGTTTGGACCACCCAGCTTATGTTGCTGGAGAGGGGCCGTCAGCCCTGTGGGTACCAAATTCATGACTTAATGATATTGCTAGAATTGCTGAATCGTGCTTTAGAAAGCACACAAGAATTAATGCAAACCTACTTCTTTACACGTTAATAAAGTTATTAAGAATGTCCAAGCTCCATTAGCAAAAAGTTTGTGGAATGACATTATTGAGCAATCTAATAGCATTGCAGTATCAAAAGAATGCCAGTATGTCCTTGTGTTTTGAGAATATTGGTAAACTATATGGCTGTTAAGTTTCAAATTTTGCCATTTGTCGTGCTCCAGCCCGATTTCTGGTTCTGAAAGGCCCGATTCTCAGCCAAAGAGTGCACGCCAAGCAGGCTGGTCATTTCATTGTTTAACTGCCCCACACTCAAAGGGCACTTTTTGCATCTTCTGAAAACTTGGGGGCCTTGGCCCCCTGGATCCTATGCCCCTGGTTGACAGCCAATTTCAGATGTGAATAGTGTACTTATTCACTACGTCAGTGTGCTCTGATTCTAACCGTTGTTGTCTCTCAAACCATGAAAACTAAAGTTGAGCCTACCAATGTCTTGTCTATTTGAAGTGAAACAAAATTTTGTGTAATAGTGATTTACTGTATATATTAGTATAATTTTTTACAAATTATTCAACTAAGGTAATATATTGTTCTAGTCTTATTGTTCACCTATTCATTTATAGTCTGTTTTAATAATTATTTTATAACATATGTACAAATTATTGCATATTACTCTTTTGAAGCAGTGCTGTCATTAAGTTTACAAGTAGGTGGCCGAAAAATGATTGAACATTGAAGGCACAAGACTCCTAGAGGGGTCTGGGTGCATGCCCCTAACCCTGAAATCTAAACAATTGGAAATGCCATTCCCTCCATTTGGGAAGGTATTTTACACATTCCCTGCATTTTGGAAGGTATTTTACAGAGTTCTTAAGATTACAAAACATCCTATCAAAGCCTGACCTGTTTGAAATCATTTAATCTTTTGTTTTATAATTTTGATGTTCTGACTAGAGGAAGTAAAAGGTTTGTTTATTGCTTCACAGTTTTGTTTATATGAACTTTGTTCAGACAGAAGTAGGCAAGCTACAGGCCCTTAATGACAGCTCTGGGTACAAAAACCCCACAAAAGTTCTCACTAGATTACTTCTGTTTTATGTTACGGCAAGGCCTTTTCTAATCCACCATACCATTTACTCCTCTGACCAGTGTGACGACCAGCAATGTTACCTGGCTCCAGTTGTCGATGTAGAGAGGTATGCTTTTCTGGGGTAAATTAAAGGTAGGAATAGCACCAGCTACAAGCCTTTTGCAGGTGGGAACTAAAGCAGAACATAAAATATCTGATTATATATACAGTAAGTTGACTTAATTTATACAAGTATTGTTAAGATAGTAATTATAATAAAATTCACAGCAAACAAGATTTATAATAACTGTAAATGGGGCTTTCATATACTATGACATGGCCAAACAAAAATCCTGTTACTTTATTATGCCAGTTTCTTGCCTTTGAATATTGTATAATACTTTGTTTACTGTATACGAAAATGTTTCTACTGTCCTCAGTGACAGTGTCCTGAATAATATGCATATCTTCATTTTATGAACACAAGGATTAACTGTTATATAAATGACCTAATGACCGAAGCGCACTTTTATGCAAATCATTAATATATAATTTTCCTGCTCTATGACCATATGGACATATGGTTAATACAAATTTGATCATTTGATACATGAAATATATACAGTACTTCTGCTAAGTTGTAACTTTCAAGCGTTCATACAGAAATATCAATACCTCTACCAGAGAAAGAAAATAACTTACATGTTTCGGCTGGGTCTTTTCAAAGTGTCTTTCACAAACGTGAAGTGTTTGTTGAGATATTTGATTTCTTAAACTTGCATCTATCTCTCGATCCAGCGTCCTTTGTAACAAGCCTCGCCAACGCTTCGCGAATTTTCGTCGATAAATCGTCGTCTTTTGTTGGATTTCAAAAAATACTGAGATCAAAGTGTTTTCTACTAGTCCCGCAACCATGTATGGTGCAATTTGCACCTGGTATTTGGATATCCTTTCTGTAAAAGACGTTTTTCAAGTACTACAGCCTCCTCTGTAATACAATCTCCTATTACAAATAGATTTTGATGCACCCGTATTGTCACGTGACAGAGAACAATAACATAATTTGGCCACGCCCCCAGCTATGTATATACAAACTCGCATTATAGCTAAAAAATAATCAGTGGAATAAAACTAAATATAAGGAGTGAATTATGACGAATAACTGTACTCTGTGGGCTCGATCTGCGCTTGAGAAGGGTCTAATTTTGATTGGCGCATTGTCATTGAAATTACTCAGTATAACTGAGACTGTCAGATCAGGCTTTATGCATTCAGTGAAGTCCGTCATATACTAAGCCTCGGACCGATGTTTAAGTGGCGCGCGGGACAGAAGAAACATTAAAGTTTTTTCTCAAAATCACTGGGAAGGGCAGTGGGCATGAAAACAATTTATCAAAACATTTTTCTTTACTTTGAACCGATTTTGAGTACTTGCATCATGTTATGTAAAGGCTAAAGGAGTAAAGCTGCAGCCGAGTTAAGTTTTGCGCGCAATGTGTTTTCCATGACCATGTCGGGCATGTGTAGTAGTGTCTTCGACTTCGATGCATACATGAGTCCAATATTATATGCTATAACTTATTTACTGATGATAAAAAATGTAGGCAAATGTACAACTGAAGCACTGCAACAACTGACGCACCTCATGCACAGTGATGCACTTCTTGAAGATGAACAAACGTCCAAGTTTATAACTGTATTTTCGCTTTATTGTATGTCGGAACATATGTGCGTCCCTTAGAAAGACGTTTCTTGAATATTCATTGCTGCTATATTTATGCACTCCTGAGAGCCAAGACTTACGATTTCATGATTATTTCTCAGGGTGGCACGAATGGCCGACATATATAATCACACTTCTCATTTACAAGAGCACCGGATGCAAGGAAATACAGCAAAGTGTTATAAGATCGATAAACACATAATAGTGGATTACGAGAATCAAAGGAAACTGTTAGAAGTGGGAAATTAGTGGGAAAAAGACTGATGACTACTTTATATAGATGTACTGCCGCAGGGTTGCTTACAGTTGTATGAGCTGTACATGTGGGGGAATATTTACATTGCGCACTGCGCAGTATACCACGACGAAGGATTTATTGCACGTATACGCTATAAAATAACTGAACGATACTTTCTGCCGCTAGTGCTAATTATAAGCCCCAAACTAAAGCATGCATGTGACAGAAATTATTAGTTTAGTACTAACAGTATGATAGTATCGGATAGCTGACTTACTACTCTTAGTCCTAAACAAGTTTTCGTTGCTATACTTGTCCTCTATACGGTTGAGTATGCCGAAGGTGCATGTATAAAATAGCTTCTTTGACTGAACGATATAATACGGGCCGGTGTAGACTGTAGTTAATTCTTTTCCCGCAGTGTTCTTATATGACCGCTTATAGTATAAAATGATCCTGTCCTATAATTAAGCTGCATTCAAGCTAGTCCAACATGTTAGTCAAACCGTCGAACATTAATCTTGGATGGAACTGTTAGAATTTGGAACTTGTTAGGTCGGAAGATGGAACTTGCCTTAGGTCGGTTTGAACACGGAAGATGCATCATGATGGATCTATAGTGGTATAACGGTCTGAATTTATTCAAAATTTTCATCTAACACTGTCCAACATATCAACATATATTGTTCGGCCAAGAATGTTAGAAGGGTTGGCTGGTTTGAGAGGGCCTCTATACAGTATGTAAATTGTAGTGCATTCTATATAAATTTAAGCGTTAAACTAATCAATAGTTAATCGAGCCAACACACCATAACTCATAGAGAGGAACTCAAAAGCTTGTTTTGAAGCCATTTTAGCTGGAACAACTATTAAGTAAACCGGAAAGTGTTGCAAATCTTAAATAGAATACCGAGGACGTTTCTGCATGTGCATGTTAGCAATCTTGTCAGCCCAATGATCAAAAATTACGCGAGAATTTACTACTGCCCACTGCTTACAATTTTATGTTGCATAACAGTTTGTCATGAAATGCGCATGTGATGTAAATATGTCTGATCGTGTATGTATGCAGTATGGCTATTTCGTGTCTGTCTGTGCATGTCTATAACAAAGTAACAAACAAACCGTCTGCGGCAGACAAAACCTTCATAGATTACAACGTAACTACAGGAAACATGCTTGAGTGTTCAGAAAAGGGCAAAGTTTGTTCATAAACGACCAATGGGGCAGGTTTAATAAAAACGCAAATCGATTAGCCGTTAATTGCAAGTCCAACCTCTGTGTTAGCGCAGTGTCAAAATTAATACAACGTGTATATAGTTATTTGTACATTTTAACTGCGATCACTATGGTAGATTTCGTGCTCAATAAACGAGCTTTTAGGTCATCAATCGCAAATTGAAATATTTTTAAGCGATGGGTTCGATCGCCAAAATTATATTATTTTCTGATAGAATTTATCATAATAATTATACGGAAACGGCGCAGTATACGTTTTAACAAAATAACACTCAAAATTTTTTTCATTAATGTCTAATGAGCCTATATTCAGCGCAAAATAAGCTAGTTTGTTGATATGTTATGTATTTGAAAAGTAAAAACAATTTACCAAGATCACGTCTGTCGACCATATTGGCACAAAATAGCCAACAGCACAGTGTCGATGTAGCTTGTAATAAACACGCACATGTTGCAGTGTCGGACACTACAATAACATGTTATTTTTCACAGCATTGCAAAAATAATGATATCAATGTTTTTCTTATGATACTATTCCATGGTTGTTTCTTACCTTAACAGCAAATATGGTTGCTTTATAATTCCCACTTGAATGTAGGTTGACAGTCCTTGTATTCTTTGAAATAGGTGAAGGGGCGTCTCTGTGTGTTTCAGCCTGTAGTACTTCTTGTAGATAGCCAATGTAGCTAGTGGCCAAACGCAATGTACGTATTTTGGACAGCTTTGTATCTTGAGGAACATTTGGAATGCACCTGCGCAGCTCTGCAAATGCAATGTTAATATTCTGTGTCCTACGTCGCTCTTTTTGATTAGCGCTCATGCGTCGAGAGTGCGTACTTTTCCGCTGTGATTTTAAACGTGGCTTTTGTGATTCTTGTAAACTTTTCTTTCTTTCATCCATTGCAGAACTCAGTGCGTTAGCTTGATGTAGATAAAAGCTTTGGACGATATTTATCCACACCATATATAGCTAAATCACTGGTCATCCGCTGGAATCGTTTTCAGCGCACAGCAGTGTCTCGAGTGCGGAATCTCTGCCTGATGCGAGGCACGAGTTATCAATGTTAGTATCGGGGACATTCGTTGTGAGAAAGCGATAAGCTTTACATTGATGGTGGCAAATATTTCGTGACCATGACACGCCTCCTGATATTAGTTGAAACAAAAAATCATCATATTCATGACATAAATGTCACGAAGTGCGGGAAACAAATTGTCGGGGTTTGAACATACGTTCCACTCTGAACCCTCAACAGGTGTTCAATGGTGCTACAAAACGAGCGCAAATTTCAAAACAGAATTACATGGAAATGCATGGTAACTTAACGCAACTTATTTTTCGCAATTATTGCGCCATGTATATCTTCCTTTCACTAATATCTTTGTTGCCAAGGAATTTTTGTCGTAGCTTTTAATGAAAATATTTGGCATTGAGACATGGCCGTCTGTATGCTGACGGACGAGGTTATCATTAATCTTTCGAGGTGGGCCAGGAAAAAAGTGTTGATAAATACGGAATAGCTATGCACGAAAGCTTTTTAATCAATTTATGTATAAGACATATTTATATGCCCTGAAACATGATCACAGGTCAACAACCGATCACAGTGCTGTGAATTATAGGCATTGTCATCGATTGCTGTATTGGATGCTTCAAGGCAGCACTTGAATCAAGAGATTTCCATATAAGTAACAGCGGGAAAACGTTTTAATTGCAGACCTGTATAAATATTCGTAGAAAGTTATATAAGCGATAAAAATTTGATTGCATTCCTGCAGCAGAATAATATACGAACCAACAGAATGGAGTTACTTTATTCTATTCTTTAAATAACTTGGATGAAAGTTTTGTATAATTCAATTTCCGTTCGCTATGATGAACTTAAGTGATAACCCTACAGCAGCTGTGTCCATTAGGCCAAACGTCTATATGTTGTTTATCGAAGCACTGACGTACTCGCTTCACGCTGCCATTAACTCTTTCATTAAAATTACATTAACACGACCATTTGACAAAATGGTATACTAAGTTTACAAAAGTCGTTTTGACCGCCTTTTCGGGTATTTTGATCGATAAGGTATTTGGTATACCAATATTATACCCCCCCCCCCCCCCCCTACCTAAACCCCAGTGAGGCGACCACAATATTTAATAAGTAATACTATAAAACAGAATAATTGAAGCAAAAGATTAAGATTTTAACTGCAGAGCTCGAGCTTATGATATCATATTCTTGCACTCTAAAGAGCATCCGCAAATGTACGAACCCGTATTGTCATTTAAAAAATACGATATCAAGCTGATATGCACTCACAGACCCGCTATCAATTGAATGGCCGAATGGCGAATGGGAATTCGCATTTCTCATGGCACTTCCCGCCAAATTTTCAGTTCTTCTCCCTCGCACTCAAAATCATGTCAAAAGGCTCAAAAAGGCAGAGGTGAAAGTCGTGTGGAAGCCAAATGCATCAGCAACTGTGTTTAGGCAACAATCTTCTTAATATGACAAAGCAAATTAAAACTGTCTATATAATGAGACCAAAAATGTAGTAGTTTTTGTAACACTCACTTTTATGAAACCCTTAATTATATAACATGCAGTTATACACATGCCAAATGCTGAATGCATAAATGTATTAAATATTATTCAATATTGCTGTTACAACGACACTATTTACAGCCAAGTCTAGTAAATCGGCTAGTTATCTAAAGCCCGTTTTCCACTCACGTATTTCGCCGCCGCTGGC